GAAAAATTCGCTTAGCTTGACTCGTTTTGAAAAACCCTGATCCATGTAAAATCTTAAGCACTTCTACAGAGCAAACAACTAGTTCGAAAACAAAAGGATAAAGCGTTCGACGTTGATCAGTCCCTGAAGAATATGCCATGCATCCGATTTTATAAGGCATCCCGGAGGCGCTTGAAGGCATTAAATGGCCTGTACAAAGATTTTTGACCATCTACCGATGAATCAAATCAGTGTTATCTTCGTAGACAAGTTTAGTAGCCAACCACAAAGGGATGAAATGCTTGGTTCACTAGGAGTGCGGGATCAAACCAGCGACCGATCTGGTGTATTTTGCAGATCATCTCTAACCACTGCGCTGTACTCATCCTTAGATAGATCTTAGAAAGTAGAATCAATATAAAACGATGAGTAGAATACCATAACTTTGATAGTTGCTACCAAAAAAGATGCTTTTCGTTCCACAGGTTCGTATCAACGAGAAGAATTGTGTTTTATATGAGACGAAGGACGAATTAACATTCGACGATCGGGAAGAGAAGGAGAATGCATCCAAAGTAGACCTTTATGTATGATATCGTTTTTGATCGAAATGTACTTTTAAGTAACTGCTAAAACATACATTTATAAATGGTCATGCCAATATACTCTAATAAAAATGTTTCGATTGCTAATTAATGTTGTTCCCCAGTAGTCCGCTCACTGAGCGTTCCTGTCTAACACATCACGAGACAAGAACTGGTGGGGATCGATCAAATCCTGGGTTGAACAAGACATCCTTGGAATCGAACCAAACGAATACTCTCACGATACACCATGGAGACTGCTTCTTGCTCCGCAGCTATAACACCAGAACAGTCTCCTCAGACGATGATTTTTACGTTCTTTTGAGGCCTCTGGTCGCGTTAAATTCTATGTGATTGCCCTGAAAGAGACAAGAAGCAGGAAGATGTAAATAAGCCAAGTGGATGACCGAACACGTCAGTCGCGAAGGGAAATTTTTGTTACGAAATATCGGAGGTTGGCTTTGTCGTACATCAATCTATTTTTCCAACCTCTGCGTCAAATGAACGTCGATATCACCAGCTACTACTCATCAACTTACATAGGCGGTGAGAGTAAACTGGATTCGTTCTATAACCAGTTAGAGGAGATAACTGGAGGTGAGAAATCCTTCTAGAAATTCGCTGTTGTAAACCTCAATACCAAATTAGAAATGGCCGGCGGAAGTGAATATAGAATAGGAAAGTTCAGAATTGGAAATAGGAGTGTGATTGGAAACCGTTATGCAGGATTCATATCTGCAGAACGTCTCCGCCACAGCATTTCATTCCTCTGGAAGACAGAAAATCACAAAAGCACATGTAAGTCTCCTAACGACACGCCTCACGCGGAAATGGATCACATTCTCACGAACAGAAAACGATACTTCAATGGTGTCTGGATTCTGTACAGGATCTCATTACCGCATCCTCTGTGCGAAGATCCCATTCAGCCATAGCTTGGAAAAAAAACTGAAATCGTCCAAGAAAAACTAAACAAATCGTATATGACGATCTCAATAAAACGTCGCCTCATGTGACCAGCAGATAAGGATCGAACTCAGGACAACAAGCTGCTTTTCGAAGGACTTAAAACTTGCGCTGAGTTCGCTTCAGTTTCTCAAAGAAGAGTGTCAGACCATATCTCTATTGTGACCAAAGAGTTGCCCGAAGCAAGAATGAAACTGAAACGTGATCCTATTGCAACAACCTAGCACGGTTAATGATAAATGCCAGCTGTAGAAGATTTTTGCTTAAGCATTTACATCATTATTGATAGGAAAAATTGTTGGAAGCAGCTCAAAAGCAATCTGCTCTGAAGAAGTGCCACCGGGATCTTTGCCATTATAATGTTCCGCTATCCGCCCTGGTGTGCGAAGATGGGACTATCAGTACGTCCAGTCGTGAGATGGATTTATTAATAGAAGACATGGAGCGGAAAAGTTGTATTCCAACCTTGACCCACCCAGGATTCTACCCTCTGAAGTTGTATTTGCGACAGAAAACGTGATGAGGGCAAGCTCCACTATTACTCATTTTCTGGGGGCTGGAGACCACAATGTCATTCTCGCAACCAACATGACATCTTAGATGCAGAAAGAGAAAATCCCAGAACAGTGGCGGACATGGTGCACGGTCATCCTACCCAGGAAAGGTGGTCAAAGGAATCTTCGTAAGTACTGTCCAATATTCTTGTTGCGTGTACTCTACAAGGTTCACGAAGTTTATCCTTTTGCGCATATCGAAGACCTAGAATGAAGCACAGTCAGTTGAGCAAGCATGATTCCTACATGGATTCTGCTGCGTGGACCACATTAAAACCGTATCACAAGTCACAAATTCTGTCGGGAGTGTCATCTACCCCTTGTCCTAACCTTTATCGACTACGAGAAAGTGTTTGACATCGCTGAAATGAATGTATGCCGCTTGTCGACCAAGAACTGGACCCATCCTATATGCGAACACTAGCAGACTATTATGGGAACTACAGCACGAAAATACAGAGTTTTCAGCGACCCCTTACCATGCCCAGTTTCGACAAGGGGAAATAATATTGCCAAAGTTGTTTAATGTTTAACGTTCAATTCATTGCAGTGGATAATGAAATCGCTCGATTGGGATGATAAGGACATCCGTTCTGATGAAAAATTTCTATCAAATTTTCGTCTAGTGGATGACATCGTCGTTGGACGCCGTCTTTTCGATGAGCACCAACGAAGCAGAGACGATGTTCAATGAACACAACGATACGGGAAATAAGAGTGGACTCTGCAGGCAAACTGGTCGAAGACCTGGCTCATGGTGCGAAGCGAACAATCGAATTGGATGGTTCCCCGGTTATAGAAACCACCTCACACGTGGACCTTGGACGTTCAGTGAACATTGAGAACAACATAAAGGAGGAATTAAGCAGAAAAGGAGAGCAGTATGGGCCGCATTAGGGCCACTCAAAGAAGCCACTGACCATCTAACCGACTCACAACTCCGCATTCACATTTTCGAGAAGAAACTCGAATCGATCCTAATAAGATCTACCCACAACGATTGATAGTCGAATATACGTTCCATAAAACATGAAGCTGTTCCATAAATTTATTACCAACGGCTATGGTAATGGCAAGCAGAATTGGAAAGTTGGGTAGGTACATAGCAAAGAAAAAGGTGACCACCTTGGTGCATTCATCTCTACGATTCGTCTCGTCTATGGCAATTTCTTTTTCTAGGAGGAAAGCTATCACCGCCGAATGTCAGAATCTACATAGGTGAATGTCGATCACATGCTTGTCAGCAGATCAACTATTTTCGATGTCGTTGTCTTTCCGTTTTTCTACATTGTGTCTGATCATCTTCTCCTTCGTGGGTAAATTCGCGATAACAGCCAAATAGAAAAGTCGATTACTCCGCTTGGTAAGATTATATGAACGCGCTCTCCCTTGAGTTTCCTAACGCAGGCTTTTCATCAACCTACCGATTTCGACCTACCTTCTCGTTTATTTCTTCAGGTATGAAGAGAAAATATCAGATGGTATTCCAGTAATGTTTAGAACGTTGACCACAGAACATATGTAACTCAAGCGGACTTCTGGAAATGAATGGCCCTTGCTAAAATAAAACCGATACTTGTTGTTCAAATCTTCAATGATTATTCCATCTTTAAGAAGAACGTTTACGTGAAAGCGCTCAAAATCATTAGGTGTGGATGTTCGTAACCGGAAAAATTTCCCCTAAAGCTTTGCACACATTCAGCACAGCACTTCAGTGAAAGAAGTAATAGATTCTACAACGAAACCAAACTATTCCTAAAGCTATCATAAGTGGGTAAATCAGTTATTTAATGAGAAGAAAAGAAAGGACGACTAGTCGACGAGGAAAGCGTTGAAGTGGACCCCGAGAAAATTAAAACGGTATAAAGAGAGCACTCCTGTAAAAAGGAAGATGTGTTTGTTGCAGCATAGGACATATGAATTTACAGCTAGAATCAACTTTTAGATCAATAAACCGCAGCCGAATTCGTAGCAGAATACAACCATCTTCATGGTAAACATTTGAAAGGTAACGAAGTGAGCACAAAGCCTGGGATCCGAGCAACTTGTGGACACAACCTCTGAGGGATACGTCATGCGTTCGACTTCATTAAGAATCGTTGTAGGTGACCGAATGCATATCTGGCCTTTACAATAACTCGCGGTGGCCAACCGATGTATCGACTCAGTGCTGCTATTCCCCCAGAAAAATCTGGTATCGATTTGCCGACCCCGGATGAAAGGCTTGGTGGGCCAGGAGCGCGGGGATCGATCCCATGTGTGTTGAAGGGCGCCTCTGACCACTTCACCACATGCGCCCCATGGATATATATTATCCATTATCTAAGCAAATAATTTACGAAAAACTACAAACAATTTATTTTTGAGTGAACCAATCCAGTTGATTTCCTTCGATATTTACTGACAGCCTCCATATGATTGTGTATGCTTAATTCACTGTAAAGAAATGAAGGATGAACTTTTGTCTGATTTCATTTAAGCGATAAGCTATGTATGTCATTATTCTCTACATTTAGATGAACTGTCTTCACATTTACTGTGCAGATCTGAGCACTACTTGCATTCGACTCGATTCCTCGCATTCTTCACTTGCGGAAGTCTTCGGACAATGTGTGTGGGTTCTACTATTGGCTGACGCTTTTCGTCTTCACTGGCGTGGGTGACAGTGACACGCATCGCTTTCGTTTTCGCTAAAAACGTCGTCGAATACGGGTCTAGACGATTCTCGGAGAAATGCGATAGCTATTGACATCTAAGGAATAAATATTGAAAAAATTCATGTTTGTTTTAACTTAACTCGAAATAGGCAAACGCAGGACAGTTCCACAAGCCAATAACAGCAAAAGGTAATTTTTTGTATAATAAAAAGGAACACAGATGACAATACTGAGCACGATATCTAAGCTATCATACACTTTCAGCTGTTAAGAGGTTGTGCTTCTTCATTTTGAGTTTTCAATTCTAACGCTTTCTTCGTTGACGTTGCTCTGGATTTCACAGGCATTAACATTTCATCGAATGCTGTGAACGGTTTTTCGAACGCCAGTGCGAAGAAGAACGCCAATAAGTACGAAACGACAATCGCCTCGAATGCGTGTCTGAGCTGAAAAGCAACCAGCATATATCTATCTAGTTCGAAAGATTGGTTTTCTTGACCATTTAATGGGTGATACTCATATTTCCGATTAGGTAGTACTAGGATAAATAACTACTAACCTAATGAGGAACTACACCATAAGTAATGACAAATAACTGAAAATGAACGGACCATCTGAAATAATGTAGTGAAGTGGAACGGTTGCGGTCGACTAAGATTGTAAATCTGCAGCATAATCGGATGAATAAGGTAAGCACAGAAGGTGATCTTCGATAGCGGCATGAAAAATTTCCAGCTCAGAAACGTACCAATAGGACCTGAAAGTTTTTATTTACCCAGTGCGAAAGCACGTCATGTCCAAAAACATGACGCCCCATGCGAATCAAGTAATCCCGCTGGGTAGTCAGTACCTTCTCTCGGTAGCATTCAAAACGAGATGAATAGAAACCTTAACAAAACATTGAAAGGTGACTGCTATGGGACGAGTATGCTAGCCCTATTATGTTTTTATAAACAAGAATCCTATTGTGATATAAGCAAAACACTAAAGAATCTTTCCATGGTTTCTTTTGTATTGGTTGAAGTTGCTTTTGCTTCCTATAGAACACACTACTAACTTAAAAAGGGTATCCTTATTGTAGTTAAATGAGTAAGGCTTGCTAGTTCTTCAAACCAGATATTTTACGGAAAATATAATCTAAACCTCCGTTCTGAGTGGCGCACGCGAACGTGATCCACCCGATAGCCAGAGCATAGGAGGGCCGACCAATCACTGCGTACAAAGCTTTCCACCAATCGGAGATATACCCAGTTCGGGCGTAGTTAAACAGCCCAAAAACCGAATAGAGACCTAATATTGTCGACAAAGTCCAGCCCAGCACGACCCATTTCTGAAATGAACATTTTAGAATCCCGTATAATGAATGGAAGATATTCGTTACTTGGAATTCTGGGCAATAATGCAAACTATGTATTAACTTTGAACTCTGACGTTTTTCCAGTCGAACTACGAATCATTGAGTCACAAAAGGCTTGTTACATTGATTTCTTCAGTTCTTCTAACTCAGGAAATAAAAGAAAGGGATTTGTTGGTTAAGATATGTGAAAGATACGAGTAAGGATCTTGATATCTTTCGAATGGAGGAACTATGTTTTGTAAACCTTCGAGATCTCCAGAACGTTGTGCTTTTGATGTCGAGTCAGATAAATCAAAAGGAAACCGATGACCACTCCTGTGACAAATGGACCACAACGAACGTACGGTCTGACATATACATCGTTCCAGTAGGAGTCCAACTTGTTTATTCTGAATGTGGTTTCGTGATTTTCTTTAGAGCTAATGATTGCCCTATAACACCGAGTGGCAGAAAAAGCTACCCTCTGAAATCAAATTGGTGAAATCCTTCCAAAATTCTAACTTTTAAGATTCACATAAGTTAATAATACTTAGGGCCTGCAGTACAGTGGAAGTATTCCTCACGAGCGCGATGCTGGTTCGACTCCGCCTCCCAGTCTACTCCTCTCCTCCCGGGCTCGCGAGTTTGGTGCCAAGCTTCTCTGGAAACAGTCCACTCCCTTAAATCCAAGCCAAAACGCTCTAGCCCGAATGTTCCAACCCGCCAAGGAATATCGACTCGACCAGCATTCGATAATATTTGTGAAGAAGGCGACAATACTGAAACAGCAACCCAACCCCAACAAATGGAACAGTACGAAGACGACTTTTGTGGACCATGGATGGGAGAAAGCAAATTTGATGGAAGAAATGTTAGAATCTATACAGGAAAAGCAAAAACGATCATGTGAAATAAATAACTAATATCTAATGAAATGTGTCGCGTGTGGCGCAGTGGTAGGAGGCGCCCTGCAACACACATGTGGAATTTGTCCTCGCGCGGTCGGTAAATTGGTACCAGCCTTGTCTGGGAGGATAGCAGCACTGGCTAGATACATCGATAGACCACCGCGAGTCATTGTGAAGGCCGGATATGCATTCAATCACCTCCAAATGCTTAGTGAAGTCGAATGCATGGCGTATCCCACAAGGACTGATCAACGCCGAGAGCTTTGTCCTTTATCCTTTCATCGAGTAGTATGCATTTTTATCACTTTTATGTTACTAGTACATCACTTGAATCCTGAGGAAGCTTTGACGGGGCATTAAAAAACTGTCACACAGGCAGCTGTCGGATTTTGTTTAGTGAAACGTGTTGCCTTGCAAAACCCTTTATTCCAGAATGAATCCTAACATAACTCTGCTCAAAGCTGTTTTTCCTAATGGGAATTAATTTCGTACTGTAGCTTGTGCTCAGTTTGGGTGACTAGCCACAATCCGGAATGGGTTTGAAACTAGTGATGTGGTCACTCTGCGCAATTTTTCAAATTCACAAAGAATCTTTTCTGTTTTCACTTACATTTGTAATTTCGTGGTGAGAATAGGAGCTGGTGGATAATCGTTTCGAAAAATTATCCACAATTTTATGAACGATGAAATCGTCATCATCAGTCCACTCAACAACATACCCCAACGAATGTTCCTAGGAAGGGATTTTTGAAACTTTGCAAGAACGATTCCTGGAAGCATGGCTCTAACTTAGCAAATGTGATGAACAGTATTGGAGCGATGACATAGTGGAACTGGACGTCGTTTGCTAAGTACCAAGTCCAACCCATACACTGAAGAGAAAGAATTTTAAGCAGTTCGTACAAAAGATGTGCATAGAGATATTAAGTTTGAAAATTCAGAAATATGGTAAACTGCTATAAGGATAAAAATAGAACTCTCATCACGCTCTCGTTGGGCAATGTGAAGTAACCAAAATTACTGAATAATACGGGAAACTCTGAGCTTATGGGGTTTGGAAGCAATGAAGGGGTAAAGCCTTAAAGAACACTGGGAAGAGGAATTCCACGTGTTCGGTTAGTGGTGGCTTTCCTAGAAGAGTAACATTTATCCAGAAGATTCACCTTGAATTTTTTATTTCTACGACAAATTTTATTTTGCTCTTTTTTCCTCCTTCTCATAATGAGTTATATGTTTCATTTTTTTATAGCAGGTAATTAAAGGGGCATGGGAAACGAGCTGGTTGGAAATACCGTGCAATACACACATGGTCTCAGGCTCAATTAACAAATATGTAACAGAACTGTCTGAGAAAAGACTTCTACATACCTGGATAGTTGGATGGCTCGTATTCGTTGGTTGTGAGGGACCCAGAAAAATTTGCATGCGTTGTTTTCTCGCATAATCGTCGTCCATGGTGATGGTTTACTTTGAACATTGTGAATACCGGCCAACTTTTGCAAGGCATCGTTCAAGCGCTCTGCAGGTGGTGCACACTAATCTTAATGTGGTGGAGGTATCAGGCGGCCCACGTCTTTACTGCATAACAGGGCGCTGGGTGCACTGTTGAATCCAAAATGCTCACGCTGGTTTTTGGGTCGGTTAGTTGGTTGGCGGCTTCTTTGAGTGGCTAGCATGTGGTCTATGCTGCTCTCCTTCTTCTGCCTAACTCCTCCTTCATGTTGTTCTCCAGGCTCACTAGTCGTCCAAAGTACACTTACGAGGTGTTTCAGTAATCAGAGAGCCATCGAGTTTGATCTCTGTTCATCCTCGCACCATGGGTTGTTCATGAACTAGGTCTTCGCCCTATTCATGACCAGTCCAGTCTCTTTCCCGCTTCGTTGAGGTCGTTGAGGTCGCTCTATTTCACAATACTCCTCGGAAAGACAAAGATGTCATCCGCTAAGCGAAGATTTTATAGGCATTTTCCATCAGTACAAACGGCCTTCTCGTCCCAATACAATCACTTCATTACTTTCTGCAGTAAAAAGCTTTTGCGATATCGTGTCGTGGCGTCGCACTCCTGTTTCTATCGGTATTTTAAGCACTTGATGAAAAAGCTGTATATTTGTACTGCAGTTCCGATAACAGTTTGCTAGTGTTCGTATGAATAAATAGCCTACTTCTTGGCCGACGAGCGCTGATAGGATTGCATTTGTTTTGATGCTGAAAAATGCTTTCTTGCAAACGGTAAAGGTTAGAACAATGGGTAGATGCTACTCCCAACAGATTTCCATGATTCGTGATACGGTTTGGATGCCGCCCATGCAGCAGAATCCCTGTCGCAATCCTGGTTGCTCAACAGGTTAAGCTTCATCCAAGGTCTTCAACATGCACAAAAGGTTAACTTTCGTGAACATCTTGTAGAGTTCACTCAGTATGCATACTAGACGGTACTTATGACCTCTTCGCTCTCTTTAACGGTAGGATGACCGTGTGCCAGCTTCTCCACCGGTTTGGAATTTTCTCTTTCTGAAGACATGAAATCATGGCGGCTGCGAGAAATGTAAGTATTTAGTGGCCACCCGCTCAAAGGAAATTGGCGGTGATGTTATCGAATCCTGGAGCTGTGCTCTCTTCAGCTGTGAGTCTCTCAATGAAGAGTACCATACCGAAATAGACCACATGATAGTAAATAGAAGGCTTTGCCTAACCGATGTCGCTGTTGTCCCAAAATTCTACACGCGATCAGACCACCGTCTCCTTCGTACAAGATTCTACATCTCGCCGAAAGGAGAAAAAGCCGCTAAATTCAAAAATCGAAGTCTAAGAACCACCGTAAACTGCGATTTGTTCAATTCATTAGCTGTTGGAAAGATGCCGTTGTAGATAACAAGAGAAAAGAGCAACAGCAATGGTCGACTCTACAGAGGCTGGGAAAAGCATTCGCAAAGTCCACAGAAGCTTCACGAATTACAAGACCAAGGTGATTGCACTCCGGCGCCCAGACGTAACAGTTACAGCGTTCAGAAAGGCAATGGAGAAAATCATTCACAAATACTACTCGGATCTCTTCGATAGCCAAGTCCGCCTTCCGTCATATGAAATAAAGGAGGATGGATATGTTCTACCACCGGTTTTCCCTTCCGAAATCCGACATGATATTTCGTCGGTAAAAAATCGAACAGCACCAAGTCCGGACAGAATAAGACCAGAACACCTGAAGAACCTTCCACCACTCCTCGTAAACACACTGGCTCGGCTCGTCACACGTTACCTGTCTGAATGCAAGGTCCCTACTCAGTGGAAGATCAAAGAGACCGTGTTATTGTTCGGAAAGGATGAAGTACACGAGACAGGCAACCATCGCCCAATCTGCTTGCTGTCTGTCGTCTACAAACTTTTCACTCGAGTCATCCTAAACAGGATCGACAGAACACTAGACGAAGGACAGCCATGTGAGCAAGCAAGGTCTCGAAAAGGATTTAGTACGATGGACCACTTCCACACGGTAACAAGGCTCGAAGCATCGCGAGAGTACAAAAGACCGCTCTGTCTCACTTTCATCGATTTACAGAAGGCCTTTGATTCAGTTGAGATAGAAACAGTCCTTGAAGCCCTTGATAGTCAAGGAGTCTCTGCTCAGTCCATAAACTTACACACTTTCGTGAGCTGTACAAAAATTTCACAACCAAGGTATCACCATTCTACAACGATATTAACATTGACGTCAAAAGGCGAGATAGGCAAGGCGATACCGTCTCGCCAAAATTATTTACCGCCACACACCGCAACGTCATGCGAACAGAATATGGGAATGAAAATCGATGGTCGGCAGTTACACCATCTTCGCTTTGATGATTGATGACATGGCCCTTATAACACCAAACATTAGCCAAGCGGAACGTATGCTTGACGACTTTGATAAAGCCTGTGGAAAGATTGGTCTTCGACTAAATCTCACAAAAACGATGTTCATGAGGAACGGATCGGTTTCGTATACCGCATTCACGCTCAACGGAACGAATGTCTCCGAATGCTCCAGTTATGTCTAACTAGGTCGGGAAATCAACACGTTGAACGACTTAGCTCCATAACTGAGCAGAAGGAAACGAGCGGCTTGGGAGCTTTCAAGAGTATCATCGAGGATGTAGTGAAGAGAACAAAGAACATCAAACTCCGTGCACACCTTTTCGACTCAACGGTACTTCCTGCCCTAACCTGGTCGCTGCGCAAGGAGAATGAACGATAGAAAAGACGATGCTAGGAGTATCCCTTTCCACACAAGTAAGGGATGGGATCCGAAGCTCCGATCTTCGTCAACGATCAGAAATCAAAGATGCCGTTCTGTACGCCAAAGAGTCGAAGATAAGGTGGGCCGGATACGTAATGCGGATGGGTGACAACCGGAGGTCAGGACCCGTTAATGACTGGATTCATCGGAATATCCAACATACTGCAGGAAGACCACAGAGCCTACGGTCAGAGTTTTTCACAAAGAGCCTTGAAGAAAGATATGATGCCTGAGGAGAGCGAGCAGAACCCACGGGGTTACTCTTGCACGCGACAGTGAAAATGAAAAATTTACTGGCGCCCGCTCGAGTCACTCGACGATCAATGGGACTGCAAGTGATACAGATGATACAGGGATTTCAGGATCCGAGAAGACTGTGGATTGGAAAAGATTGGCATAGAGCCTCTCCGTTATCACTTCCGCATCAAGCTGGGATGTAGTGATAGTCCTATCTTCGCCCACCAGGCCAGAGAGCGAAAAATTATAGCCGCAAAGATCCCGACGGCACTTCCTAAGACTGGATAATTTTTAAGCTACTTCCCCTAACTTTTTCTTTGGCATCAATTTGAAGTCGGTCGGCAATCAATGTGTACTCCTTGGTCGGATCTTCGCTTTTCTGGCAGTCATATGAGGAAAGGATTGTATGTAAAATATTCTCGTCTTCCATGACTTGTTTCTTTTTTCTCGGACGATAACAGAGGTTCTTTTCGTTCTTTTCCAGCTTATGGCTGAATCGAATCTTCCCACGGAGAAGGAGTTGGTCGGATCCGGTTCAGAATCCAACTACAACTAAATTATTAAAGAGGCACCATTTTCTGTTCGTGAGAATATGATCAATCTCCGTATGAGTTCTGCCGTTAAGATACTCTTTTTCCTAACGGCGATTTTTTCTCTTTTCGGAAAATGAATCCCCATGGAAGAGAGGTGCTTCGAACACGAATCCTATAAGACGATAACCATTCTAATTTCGTTCTCCTATTCCAAATTTCCCTAACCTGTATTTTCGCTGGCTGTTCTTGATCTGGCACTGAAATCTCCAACAACGAATTTATAGAAGGATTACTTTTCGTGGTTTTTCTGCTTCAACTGGTTGTATAACGCGTCCACTTCGCTCTCATCAATTGTACGAGTTTATGAGAACCAACTAATTACGCCAAATTTTTTTTGATGCGCAAATTGGAGACGAAGAAAGGCCAAGCATGGTGATAGGATTTCGTATGAAGTAGATAAGAAATAGGTTAGTGTGCGAATAAGCCAACGCCTCTTAAATTTCGTCACGAAAATCCCCCTCTGCGAATCACAAGAGCTTCGTCATCTAATTGGCGCATGTCGGCCTTCGTGTTTTTGTCCCTACTGGACTGATCACAAAGAATTTTATGATTTTTGTGGCCTCAAGAAGAGCGCAAAGGTCGGCTTCCGAAGGGACTCTTCTGACATTATAGGTTCACAGTAAGAAGCAGTCTACAGAGCGTGTCATGGGCGTGTTCGTTTTGCCTGCTTTCAATAACTTTCTATGCAAACCGAGCACCTCTCACCGATTGTCTCACCGCCCGACGTCATAGATGGTGGCGCTCACTGTGTGGAGTACTGTGCCGAAAATTTTGCTTGTTTAGCCATTGTCATTTCCTGTAGTGCCCACGTCGGCCTAACTGAAGCCTTTCTCACGTCGTCACAACCGCAAGCAGCCGCCGCCCTTGTGTATCAGAGGGAGGTTTACCACCATGCGACTAGTTTGATTCCAGGACTGTGGTGATTACTGGTATTGGCTTGCTCTTAGCCGGGATTCCGGATGGAAACGTCAAACTCTTTCTCAGCTTGAGAAACTCAGGTCCTGGAAATGAACCACCTGTATATAGGAGCCCTACACACACGAATACGTACGGACCACGGTGAGCCGGTAAACAATTGGGTGGAAAAGCTCCTTACAATCTACAAATGTCGGCGACTCAATGTGGTAACACGCTGGTTGGTAGAGCTACCTTGACTCGAGTATGATAAACTAATGAATAGACTCTCTTGTGCTAGTCGGACTGCATCCGAATCGATTCTCTTTAAAATCTTTTCTGTTAAACCGACTGTTAGACTGTTAAACTAACTGTTAAAGAGTTCGTGTTGAGCATTCCCTTATGGATGCATCATGTGCTCTGCTCCATTCTTACATTTTAGGGATGACTGAATGCATATTTGGTCTATACCATTACTCGTAGAAGCCTATCGGTGCATAAATTCAGTGTTTTTATCGTCTCAGACAGATCTGGTAACTAGTCGCTGACCCCGGAGATATGGAGAGTTGGTAAGTTAGCGGTTCGGGATCGCAATAGCTATCGATTTAGTGTGTATTGCAGGCGATCGATTTAATGTGTTTTGCAGAGTATCTGGAACTAGTACGCAATAAACGTCTTTGCAGGAGTAGAAATGGTGCAAAATCCTCCTAGAATAGTCCTTCTCATGAACCCCATCCTACTTCATAGCGATTTCAGTTGGTTTCCAGATGTAATACGCAGTACAGATTATTCCCAGACTTTCAAGACCCCTCTATTTTCTTGGAAAATATGATGGAAAAGTACTAACACATTCTTTATCTTGTAGTAAGAAATTGTTCATGTAGAGAAAGTTCGTCCACCACGAAATGCGACATCCCTGCTTCTCAATTGGTCTCCAGAAAGGACCAGATGAGACGTAGGTGAACAATGTCACATCAAAAAGCATGATAACGGCATAAGTAGGAGTGATCCTAAATAAGTCTGAATTGCTCTAAAATGTACAGAGCAGCGATGCCAAGTAATGAACGAAGAGACACCTAACGACACTTCTGAAGCTATAACAAAATGAATTAACTAATATTTTGCGAAATATAGCCACAATGATGCTGAAATTTTGAAAAATTCCTGAATGCAGGCGCCGCCGGTGGGGAACGAACGCGTAATTACTCTTTTCTAGGAGTTAACGCGTTCATCACCACACCATGCGGATCATTCGTTTCGCCCATCTCGAAAGCTAATTTTCTATCGATCGGTGCCATCAGCAATCACCCGTCAACGGGAATGATCTGGGATGCCCAAATCGGCAACGAACCCTGTTAAGCTGAGGCTGTAGTCGAAATCACAACGTTAACTTTTTCATTTGCTGCCTACTACAATTTTTCATGACAAGGTATTATGCGAAATACAACGGCAATGATGTTGAGATATTTTGCAAAACTCCGGACGGTAGGTGTCTGCGGGTCTGCGGTGGGAACGAAGTTTTGCAAATATCTCAGCACCATTGTGGTTGACCTAGCATAATACCCTGGCATGAGATAATCGTAGTAGGCAGCAAATGAAAAAGTTAGCTAATATTTGTTAGACCGCTTTACAATAAATAGAAGGACTATAGATGGCATAAGGCCTTTTTTTTTGCAAGAATTTACGAGGAACACTAACCTCGTATAGCGTTTTATGTAAATGATTAGCCACATAAGTGGGTTTGTTGCACTTCGGATAGTCTTGTCTTTGATGAGTTTCTTGAAAAAAATATATGAAGCCAGCAAACCACTGAAAGTGTAGAAATAAAAGTAAAAAAGAATGGTGTTATCTCTTTCATTCTGATTCCAGAAGGATTTGCCAATCGAAAAGATAACAAAGGAAAATCTCAGGTTGAAAATTCTGCATCTCAAAAAAGCGAATTTTTTTTGAAATACGAACCTGAGCAGGAAAAACGAGTCGACTGCCAAAGGCGCTTGTACGATTATTTGCGTATAGAAGCTTTTCGGAAAATTTACCAGGGTTGGAATTAGGTTATCTGAAATGAGAATTTAAAAGAAGATACTTGCTCTGAGTGTATAGTTATGGTAAATTAACTAAGAAGCATTCAGTGTAGTTGCTCACTTTTTAGATTTGAGAGATGTCATCTAGGGTGCGTGTAGTGCAATGGGTAGAGATGGTAATTTGATAGAAATTGCAATCGGTTCGACCCAGCGCTGTGAGGAAGTCAAAACTCCCGCTAGCCAGTGTCGGCAAACTGGTGCAAGCAACTCTTAACTAGGAAAAAAGAAGTACTGACTTGACATAATGGTAGGCCACCGCGACACACAGTATAGGCCAAATATGCATTCGATCACTTCTACGATGCTACGAATGGAGTCGAGCAGCGATGTTCAAATTCAACGCCGGATGATATATTTTTAATACCTTATCTCAGCAACATATAGCGAGGTATGGGCCATTTATAGGTTGTCTCATAAATGACGTTTCTTTTTAAGCTTCAACTTCAAACACACATGTCTTGTACAACTGCTATTTTAAATAGAAAAGCGTTTCAATCGATATTGCCAACGAGGTCTAAGTCAGTATAATAGCCCTATCCAACGGCAAATGTCGACAAAATCGACCAATTATTTTCTTCTAAACTCAAGCCAACGGCCAGCAACCTAAGCCCAGAGTCCCACAGGCTCCGCCCAACTATTGATTGAGTATTGATTTGTGGACGCACAGCAAAACCTTATCCCACTTCCACACGACCATGTTTCTTGGGCAAGGTCTAGTTTCATTACTTCTCTATCATATTACTTTAACACTATTGTGTGACTGCCACGACCGACTTTCTATTAACCTCGGCATTGATCAAGTGATTTTGTTCGTATTTTTTGAGCAAACGCGAGGTGTTATTGTTCTTTGTTCACGATTAAGCTGACGTTTCGGCGAATTTCGCCTTCTTCAGAGCCGCTTTCTATGAGGTCTCCACTAAGTATAGTGACCTCATAGAAAGCGGCTCTGAAGAAGGCGAAATTCGCCGAAACGTCAGCTTAATCGTGAACAAAGAACAATAACACCTCGCGTTTGCTCAAAAAATACGAACAAAATCACTATTGTGTGAGATATTTTACCACTTCTCGTGCTCCTTATTGCTTTCTATACTATCTCCATCTACTGGTCACATCATTATCGCTTATATCTCTAGCACTTGTGATCTCACTATCGCTACTTCGCTATTATTGCATTATTACTGTTATACGAACGGTTTAATTACCATAGTTTAAGGTCTGGCGTTACGATAACAACTAAGAGACCCACGTGGCAGGAAATATTGCACAAACGAGCAACTTCACAACATAGCGGATCGTCCGTTTGAAGGCACCCGCCAACTAGACAGAATTTGCAAAGCGACATAGTAGCAGTCAGTTCAGCGTCACAACAATTCTAAATCGTAATTCAAAGCCCGCTCAACTTGTTACCTGTTTCGTAAGTTCACCAAAGTTCCCCGATAAGATTCACTGTTCATGGTATACTACGCCTCTGAGCAATATCACTGATATTCATGTCCGTGTTTCGATCGGCAACATTAGCAGACGAGGTGTTTATATCCGCAAACTATTTGGATCACAAAATATTCAAGAATGACGGAGTATAATCTTCTATTTACTATCTATTATTTTATTACCTATTTACCATGAGACAGTACGGTGTGAAATACAACTACGTTGATGATGAGATATTTGCAAAACTCAGGTCCAGTTCGATTCCACGACTACCCTTTCCAGGCTCTCACGTGTTACTCATTGTACCACTGAGGCACTCGTTCTGCATATCCTTCAGTCATTTTTTCTACCCTAACGGTGGTGTCAGCAATCACCCTTCGAAAGGAATGATCTAGGGAGCACAAATCGGCATTCAAGAACACATAATTATAGATCCAAAATTTGAGGAACTCCCTGACAAAAACCTTAAATCAAAATTCCTCATGAACAATGTGCCTAGATACTAATCTCAAGTGGTAGAGTTCCCTTACACGATCCTTCTTACATCTGAGGAAAGACGTTACACTATAAACGTCGATCTTTTGATCGTGCTGAAATGAGCCATATGTTTTGTGCTCCTGTGAGCATAATAAAGCCTGAAGCGGTTACGCGTGAAGACAATGTAGTAATGATCAATGATCCTATGCAAATTCCATAATTATGGATGATCGGAAGAATCCACGAACTCCTATCAAACTCAGACAGGATTTGACGTGAAACAACTATAATCTTCCATCACACCGTAAAATACGGAAACCGGTAAACAGCCGTTCATACAGAGAAAATGGAGACGATGAATCTGAAGTTAGCAGAGAACTACCAACTGTAACCAGGAAGTAGACACAGCAATATAATCTTTGATCAATAAGAGATTCACTGGAGTAATCGAAGAAGCGGCAGAGTTACGACTAATCAACTCCTAAAATCGACCCAATGGCGAGTAACGTTTCCAAGGTAGAGTAAGTCCATAGCCAAAGGTTTACCGATCAGTAGTTCACCTTCTAATTCTGTTCATTGAGTCTTCATTTAGTACTGTATCATTCGTTATTATGCTCTGCCATTATTCTGATCCTTCCTGGTGTAAATCAATCGCCGTCACAAGTTGCACTTCAAGCCTGCGCACCTACTCCGTAATGGGCGTTGCACCTTTCCATCTGGACCTAGCAATCCACCGATCTGTATACTACATCTGCATTTCGTGTTCTTGATTATTGCACTCTGTGCGTTTAGTTAATGATTCTCAGCTAAGTCAAACTCCCGTTGGTTCTGCCCACCCACTGATCCCTCATTGATCTCTGCATGCATAACAATATCCTATCCCATTTCCACTCGAGTACACTCCGTGGCCAACAACGTCTAGTGTCATTATTTCTCTATGATATCCCTTTAACAGTATTGTATGAGATATTTTACCATTGCTAGTGGTTATTATTGCTCACTATACTATCTCTACCTACTGGTCATTGTATTGCTTACACTTTTTACACTTGTGGTCACGGTATCGCCACTGCGCTATTATTGCATTAATATTTCCATATAAACGATTTAATTAACCAAACTTGAAATTTGATGCTGCGATAAAAACGAAAAGCTCTGTGCGGCAGGAAATATCGCACAAACAAGCGACTTCACTATAGGAAAATTCCAGGTTTCGGAAGGTCACTTGTTTTCTGAAGGTATTTCTAGCTCAGAAGATAAATTCGTTCAAATATCACTGTCGCGAAGCGTGTTACACATTTTCCCTCTTTGTCTCAGTATTATTAGCAAACACTGTCTTTTGTTAGTTTTGGTGATTTCTTAAAAGCATCCCGTGTTTTAACTATTTCGTCAAAGTTAGCTTTAAGAACTATTTCGATGCATTACCTTTGCCCAGCAAGGCGTGTAGCGCAGCAAGTAGAAGTGCCCAGCAATGGACACGTGTTCGGTGGTTTGATCACGCATTTCGAGCTCACCATGTTTTTCATCCCTCAGATGTCGGCAAATTGCTGCAACAATTTCTGGGAGGATAGCGGCACGCACTAACTTGACACATCGGTAGGCCGTGGCAAATCATTAAATGGGCCATATAAGCAATCATCCATTTTTGAAGATACTTAATGATGCCGAATGCGTGGTGCACCCACCATGGGTTGATAAAAACTGAGAGCTTTATCCTTCATCCTTTATTAATGCTCACTCTGCTTTACTCAAAGCACTACCTTGTATTTTTCGTCGCACCTCACAATACGATCAGGAAACGGATCGTTGTCTACTGCATAATAAAACGGGGTTCATAACGAAGACATATTTTATAGGCTTTCAAACCATATATTTATCGAGTTTTTTATTTCTTAGTCCGGTCAAAATGTTCCACATTTTGTCTCATATTTTACCACTTCCCGAAACTTTCAACCCGTTGAATACAGATCTGCTTCAATCTGCTTCGAGTTGTTCTCATTGATGAGAATACTCTTTGGCTGATCTTAATCAAATTTAAGTATTTACACTCTGTTAACAGATTTTTAATATCAAGGTGTACCATAAAGTCGTTCACGGTTCCACAGACGAATGCAACGTTGACACTGCTGGCGAAATCCGAGGTTCTACGCTCATTTTTGAACTCGACAAAGAAAACTGCTCAAATTTCTCTTTTTCCAACTGCCCCAATCCGAAAGTAATTTGTGATGGAGATGAAATTGTTGAGTGAAATCTGAGCTCTAATACTCCATGCAATACGAACTTAAGCATATGAAACCTTGGCTAAAAACAATGTCAGATTTGAAGAGGCATTACCAAGAAAATTTATCAACATAAAAATGATGTTAAAAATGAGGGAGAAGGAGAGAGGGAGAGACGCTCTTTACGCTAACAACTGCCTGATAACCTTGTGGCGTTGAACGAAAAAATATGTAATATTTATTCAACAATATCTCTTAACAGCTGTGCCACAGGCGCCCCTCAATTCATAGTTTTATTCTAATATTAACGTATTACAATAGAGATACTTTGGGAGCACCTATTTCTGAGTATCCGCGAGCACATCCATGTATTTTGAAACACTGTTACTACCTACAAGGATAAGGAGGAGGGTAATGCTCCTGACACTGGTCAATCACTGAGGGATGCGTCATGCATTCGACTTCATCAAGTATCGTTAGAGATGATTTGAATACAGATGTGGGCAATGTAATGACTTGAGGTGGCCTACCGATGCATCATTACAGGGCAGCTATACTCACAGGCGAGAGTGGTGGCAATTTTTCAACCACCAAAGGAGAAGGAAAGGTCCGTGAGCCATGGGCGCGGCATTGAACCAAAGACCACGCGTGCTTTGCAAGGCATCTATAACCACTGCGCTACAAGAGCCTCCACTAGTATTTATAATATAATAATGCACTGTACAGTGTGAAGTGGGGATATGCAGTGGTCAGCTATGCTGTTGATGGGAAAGCAAAGGCGCTAGTTCAATCTCCTGCACCAATGCTCTCCTTCAATTCATATATGAACGCCTTACCTGGCTGTGCTCAAGACTGTAGGGAGAATCAACTTGATCACTATTTTAGGGTATTCGTAAATAACAAAAAATCCCTAAGCAGCAACCAAAACATGACTCGAAATGTTCATGACCTTTGTGGATGGTGAATGCGAGGAAAAACGATTCGAATGCAAGAAGTGCTGAGAGCCCTACAGCACATGTGATGAAGGGCGATGTGAAATGAGAAAAAAATGTACGGCCTATCGTGAATGTTGTGCAGAGACGCGAACAAATAGTTGTAAACTAACGAGACTGGTTTACCTCACTTTTTGTTTTCATTAAAAAATTCCTAAACATGAAGAAAATCTTGAAGTTCTTTCGGACTTTGCACACCTGTTGTAAGACTGGTTCCAATATAATAGTAGGTGTGGCCCAAAATTATCCAGCACATGCTGAGAAAACGAATACCATGAAGGCAGTCGACTTCACCCTTAACAGAAGCGTCCTTACTATTATTTCATAAAAGAGACACGAGTTAATTCATACCTCCTTTTTCGATGTTTGTAGAACTTCCAAGCCATTCGTATAAACCGAATACGCCAAAATCATTCGCAGAAACCAATCTAGGTATCGAAGATTACTTGAAACATTGTTATTCTATGAAGAGATAGACTGTAACTAGATAGGATTTGTACAGGTACGTCGTCTATATAAAGCAAGTTTTAGAACATATGAAAAGCTTATATTATTGCAAGAAAGTGTGTGGTAGTAATTTTTCACTGAAGGTAAGGAAGTATTGGGTATGAAGATCCACTTATCGGCTATTTAAGGTGGATTTCTGAATACGAATTTACTCAGAGCATGGTTCAATGTTCTACCTTCTGGACCCAGCCACGCCTACAACTTAATGGTCACGAAGATGATGAGTTGGGACTGGTCCGCCTAAAAGCGATACCCGAACCGAAAAGAGCTGTATATTCACTAGTAAAGAAAGAGAATTTCATTAGACCACGCATGCCTCTATTTTCACACCGATAGACTTTGTGAAATTCTAAAACCATCTATGGACATCTAAACCATTTAGGTCGGAGTTCTGTTTCAAGATCTCACACAAATTAAATTCTCCTACTCACACGATCAGAAATTTGAGGATTCATTCTGCTCTTCCTCATTACTCGATTGCAGACTTTTGGCCGCATTGACTCGTAGAATACAATCCCCATTAAAGAGAACACATCCAATCACGTATGCATGAATACGTTCTCGTAAATGAAGAGGATATGCGCCAAATGGGTGCAGCAGAAACTACGAGTCCATCACTAGAGCCACCTGCGTCTCAGGAAGGCAAAGGTTGCTTTTGGTCCGCAACTAACCCCCTATGCGCCACCAGGGTACGAGCTACGTCGCCTCGCAACTAATCGGCATAAGATCCCTCTATGAGGAAGATCTTTGCTAACATTTTTGATAAATTGAAATTGCGCCATTTCTACTACTTGCAAAACTTGTAGCGATGCACTGCAGAAGTTCAATTTTTCGCATATTCGAACATGGGTTTATCTCGAATGCTCTACATTGTCAACTCACGATTATTCCTCCTAGCAGTGAGAATATTGTCATTTTCCTTCTGGTAGATGAACAGATCGTAGAGGGTTCCGAAGACCATCATGATGATAGTGTAAGTCAAGAAGTAACTGAAATTGGAAGGTATAAATTGTTGAAAAAGTGATAGACATGGATGGATGTTGAGTATGGTGAAGCTCAAGGATTTTAAAGGTCGTACAGAGCAGCCATAGCCAGTGAGCTGCTGCTCATTGAGTTTTCTTTGCTCTCATTTCGGCATTCAACTTCCACATCACAGACAGCTTCCCTTCCAGCTGCACTTTCTGCCAAGCGGACGGCTGAACAATAACAGAAGTTGAAAACATTTAGTCATAGCGAAGGTTCTTCACTTAAACTTAACACTTGGTTGATTCAAATTCAAAGAGGAAGGGACTCTAGAATATCCTCTATTTCACATTTCACATTTCTTATTGCTGTCTTTGGCAGAATCTTTCTGTATGATCCAGAGAATCTGTTGGCAGAACGTTAGTGGATCATCTCCACAAGGAGTTGCCACAACTTACGGAGAGATGTTCGCTAAATTGCGACTAAATTCATATTTGGCTGGGCTTAAAAGAAGAAATCTTGATGTTTAACGTTTTGTTTTCTGCCTTCTATAATTTTCATGGCAGGTTACTAAGTAAGCGAAATACAACCACAACGTTGCTGAGATATTTGCAAAACTCTGGACCGCAGGTGTCTATGGTGGGGAACGAACGCGCTATTGTCCTTTCCGGGGAGTAACGCGTTCACCACCACACCATGCGGGTCCTTTGTTTCGCACGTCTCTCAGCTATTTCTATCGATCTTTTACTTTATCTTTATCGAACATCGATCTTTATCGAACAAAACGTTAAACATTGTGATTTCAACTACAGCCATAGCTTAACTGGGTTCTATGCCGATTTGCGCTCCCCAGATCAACCCCGCTGACGGGTGATTGCTGTGGCAAAAAGATCGATAGAAATAGCTGAGAGACGTGCGAAACAAAGGACCCGCATGGTGTGGTGGTGAACGCGTTACTCCCCGGAAAGGACAATAGCGCGTTCGTTCCCCACCATAGACACCTGCGGTCCAGAGTTTTGCAAATATCTCAGCAACGTTGTGGAAGAAATCTTGGTTGAAAAAAGGAAGAAACGCATTTCGTCTAACCAAAGGTAATCATCCTCGTCACGTCGTAATCCGTGCACGAATCGGGCATGCAGACACCAAAATTCAGCATAGGAATCAGACTAAAGCATTTAGCGTCATCGTCTTCAGGCAGACTTGAATTTGTTTCCTTGCTAAAAAATTAATTACTCCATTCTCTCCAGGCAATATAAAAGAATTGCATATCTCTTGGAAAACTGTATTTGTGCATTTGGAGAAAATTTTGTGAACAACTCGTATTTGCGATTGCTCGCGCTCTGTTAATTGTTGCACATCCATTCCTAGTAGTGGAACTCCAAGAATCTATTCGTTATATTTTTGGCGTTAATCTCGAAATGTTACTGTTGTGTGTAGAGGTTTACTTATTCAACTTACAAACACACACACACACATACACATACACATACATACACACACACACGCACACACAGTGCATTTTCATTGATCGGTGATGTAAAAAGGTAAAAGGCGATAACGCTCTGTAGTACAATAATTTGAGATAGTTTTAGTGTTTTATTTTCATATATGAGAAGATGAATCTTCTAAACTTTTTGAGGGAGACTGCAACATGGTAAACTTTGCATAAACTCATTTTTATTCGTGTATGATGTCCTCGCTTATGTAGTATTTGTATAAGCTGACTTCGATTACCCACTTATGGAATGAAATTGATTAAGGACAAAATTGAAGACTTCACCGAATAACTTTCTCATAACAAAATAAAAACAAATAAACCTACTAGCAATGGGCATCTACACGTCCGGCCTGATTAAGCGCTTTCAGCGGGTTGTTCCTTTCGTATGCCTCCAGGTGAGCTAGACAGTACATTCCCTTCCACAACTGCCTAGAATTGTTAATAGTTGCTTCGTATTTTTCTTTCTCTGGAAATGGGATTGAAAACTACCCTTGGCTATTCTTAACAACTCTGATCTTTCTGCAAGTATTCCACGATCCAATCCATAGGTTATTGCCAGCAGTGATCCCCGATGGTACTTTTCCCATTGCGTCCAGTACTGAAACCATTACCTGCCAAGAGTAGTTTTTTAAAAAAGAAACATGTAAAGCGCAATATCAGCGATGCACAGTCTTAGTCGACCGTTGTTTCTATCTTGTTTAACTGCGGACCACTTTTTCCGTACTTCTCCGTGGTTTCTTTTGAATTGAATAGCTTCTTCATGTATTGTTCAATCTAATCAATGCGATAAATTTTTGCGTGTCTATTAAAGACTGATTCTGCAAAGTTTCTTCACCTTGTCCAAGAGTACTACTGCTGTACAGCATCATCGGTTAGCTTCATGTTCACTGGTTCCCCGACAACTATACACAGCAATGGGCATTTCGGATAGCACAAATGAGCTGCTCGAACTATTACATAAGTGGTTCTTTCATAATAGTTGTCAATGATAACACCGCATCTACGTAAGCAAAGGAAATATTTTTGAAAATGTTTGTAAGCTGAGAGTATTTAACGCACTGTAACTGGATAAAATCCTAAGCGGTTGCTACTTCGCTGTCTCCCACCAGATAAACTAAGTACATTAGATCCCATCTTGGATAGTTGATGTTAATTGGGTAAGGATCTAACAGTAAACATTTTGTATAAAACTACTGCGTTTGTAACCCTTCCTTACAAGTGCTATTCAACTTGGAGCTCGTGTAGAGCAGTACTCAGAGATGCCTTGCTATACACCTCTGATCGCTTCTCCGATCCTGCGCCTTTGTGCTCAGCATGCCGGCCATCCCTCCAGAATCGGCGAATTGGTACAAGACTTATCTGGAAGCATAAGGACCCTGGTTGGATATAGTGGTAGGTCGTCGGACGTTACTGTACGGGCCACTTAATCACTTCCACACTGCTTGGGGGAGTTGAATGCACGGTGGATCCCTGAGGAATTGATCAACGTCGAACGCTTTATCCATTTTCCTTTCACAACTGCATTTACTAGCAATAACGAAAAATGCTTAGAACCACGGGAATCGGTTTCGATCTGACGGGTTTAAGTGACAATATCCTAATTTGTTGGGCTATGCCAATGATTTTACATCCCATCTCTCTTGTTCATTGTTTCCTAAAATATTAGTAATCATTGGTGAACCCTTTAGAAATCATCTACTTTTTTATGAGGACTTCAGTAGGTTGCCGATGTGCTCAGAAAGTAGACTTCGAATCTCGAGTTCTGTGTATGATGTTGAATGAATGAATAAATGAATGAATGTTGCTCTCGTCAACTCAGCGCTATCTATTACAGCGGTACTCTAGCCGAACGTTCTATTCAATGCTTCCCATTCTTTTGTTAAGATATTTCCACTTCGACCGTTATAAAAACCCCATCTAGAAAATGTTTTCTTTATCCATGAATTTTTCAAGCACATTACTTCATCGGATCTGTTTTACGACGAAGACGTACTCAGCGGGTAGCTACTTTTGCGAATACAGCGAGCTATCTTACAGTTTGTCTTCGACAAAATCGATTTCTACAGGCGTAAACTCTTAAGGATTAAGTTACTTAAAGGAACTCCCACCATTGAAGATCCACTGTCGCTCATTCTTTTTCTGTTGAAAGAACGGAGTGCACTTGCAGTCCGTGCAGTTCCGGTGCTCATCGACATGAGTGGCGTACTCTACTGCAGTCAAAGCATAGTGCATAATATCCGAAAGACATGCTGAATAAAATCGGTTGCAGAAAGAAGAAAAGTGATAGTCATGATTATATCCAAAAGTTTCAAAGACGTTTAAGATTGAGTTTATTTTCATATTATGGAATCCTCTAAGAACCAACTGATTTGAGCATCGAGATTTTGTGAATGTGACATTAACACGATGCACGAATATTATAGACTCCTAAATCAGGCTTCTTTCTAACGTTACTTTCCCTAAAATGAGTTCCCATGTACGTTCCTTGGAATTTTGCATATTCAGCAAATTTGGTGACCGTTGCTATCGATAGGCTTTAGCATGACCTAAACACACCTAGGAAGGACCGCCTCGTCGTGATTGCTGACCTTTCCTTCGTATTCTGCAAACCACCTTATCTCTAAAGACAGTGGAAGTAGAGGATTTTATACTAAACGTATGATGTTCTTCGTAACCTTTGAGATCGAGCAGCTCTAATGCAGGATAGGAACCCATGAGACGAATGAGATGAGTGAGGTTTAGTAATGATTATTTGAGTCAACCAATCACTAACGACGTAATGGGTAATACAGGTGGTCTTATCTTTGGTCGTACCGGCTTCTTTAACTAGACTTTATAGCTGACATTCATAGGTAGTCGTTCTGTGAAGCGCAAGGGAAAATTCTTCCATGAATCCAGGTGGAATACCATATTCGAGAGACTTAGTAGCAAGTATCTACTGTATAATTTTCTACATCCAGTAGACAAGAGGCTCGTAAAAAAGAAGAAAACGAAGAAGCCGAAACAGTCGAAGTTAAATTTTTTAACCTCGTGTCAGCTCAATCGTATAAGAAATTACTGATTACTGTTACCAAAATCTAATGAACGTCATTTTTTTTAAAGATATCTTCTATATGCATATCCCTTCCAGTAACTCTACAACACCGATGTTCTATTGTATGATAAGCACTATCGCAGGAACAAAAAACTGCTGAGATATTGGCCGCTGTCATTCATTACGACGTCTTCGTATGAAATTGGGACATGAAATTTCCAGTTCACTTCTTAATGACTTTCGGGGACCTTGTATCACTTTTTCAAACTTCACACTTTAGCCCTATCGTATCGCTAAAGTACACAAAAAACTGGGGTGTGGGAATTACTGGAATAAACAGAGAATCGTTTTTAAGCCCAGTAAAAAAAATCACATAGAAAGGAGCGATATAGCCATGTCTTTCTTGATGAACTTTGAGGAAAGTTTTCTTGGAGAGAGACAACAGAGAGAACTTCGTAAAAAATTTCGGACAAGAATTTAGCAAAACGTTGACATCAAAGAAATTTGAACGATTTTCTTACGCCCTAAGTGACGCACATAACCAACAAGTGTTGGCTTATCAGCTCAGCAAGAAACAAATCCAACGTGCCGTTTAGTTCATGATCAGAATAATGATGATTCTATAACGCAAACAATGTTTATAACAGCAGCTGGATTTTGAAACGGGGCAGAATGAAATTTTCAGTTTTTAACCTATTATATGCCCAGAACAGTGTGGAATTGACTCTCTATCGTTCATGGTATCGATAAAGAACTGTGCCTCGAAGTACTCGATAGCAGAAGAGTTGACAGACTTCGTGTCCTCTTCATGACGAACTTGACCATGAACTAATAATTCGGATCGGATGTTTAAAAGGAAAGTATGTGGACTAACACCGGATTTCTCGCCTACAGCTTGCAACAACGAGCGACGAAGTCGTAGGAATTACGACAAAGTATTATTGAGGTATTCTTTGTGGACGTGGACGAACAAAAGTTTAACAGGGGAGACCATATCAACTGCTGTGAAATTGCAGTCGCATCTACTGTGAAGATCAGCTATAAATAAATGTGAAAAACATCACTTCGGAAGCTATGGACTAAAATGAACAACTGGGTAGCACCAGATTAAGTTAATCAATCGTATCCATTGCAAAGTATGCGTCTAACGCAGTGGTTAGAGGCGCTCTGCAATACACATGGCATCGATCCCGCGCCGCAGGCAGACCAAGCCCTTTATCCGTTATCCTTCCTCTCAACGCCGGGTATAAAAGTCTTCCACTGGAGAATAGCACATTTACATAATAAAACCAGCCACTTCATTGCTTTTGTTGTGGCAAAAGCTGTAACAAAAAGTTGAATCGTCCCCTTCTTCGCACAATATCTTTTCGTATAGAAGGCTCTCCGACGGTCCTTTCCTTTTCATTTTTTCCTTTTATCACCTTATCCTACTAGAGAGGATAGATATGTCGTCATAATTGCTCTTCCTTCCGTAGCCTGATTGATCTCATTGATAGCCAATAACGATATGATCAGACCCCATCATCTAAAGAACCCACCGTCAGTTTTCATTAACGCAGTAACCTTTCTCATTACATGCTACCCATCAGAATCTAAGGTTCCCGGTAAAAGGTAAAGTACCAAGGATGTGTATTCGTACGAGAACGAATACCTATGTAAATTAGACAATCATTACCTTATTTGCCTACTGTTTTTCGTCTACAAGTTCATTGCTCGATTCATCTTCGTCATGAATGCTAAGGTACTTGATGAACGACAATTATGCAATCAAGGAAGTTTTCGGAGAAGAGTTCAGGATTATATCTATATGAGAGCCCGATTCACTAAAGCGTGGCCAAAGTATCACATGTTGCTGCTGCTCTCACTTGGCAACTTTAAGAAGGATTTCGACTTCAGGTACAGGTACTTCATTATAATATTGAAAGAATCATAATGTTGCCATTAAGAAGCAAAAGTCCTTCATGAGTTATATCATGAATATTTAAAACTGAAACTTAATTTCAAGGAATGAAAGCCGATTGGTCGGTAGCTGCACAATCCTCGCTTTACTATTGCTTTACTGTTTTAATCTTATTACTTACAAAAGGTAAGCTAGATGGAACGAGTACTGATCAATTTCGAAAACGCTTTTGGACAAATTTGTCTTCGCTTGAGGTCGAAGAAAACGATATTCACAAGACATGATATGCTCCCCAATCACCGACTAAGAGGAGCAGCGAGCGGGTGAAGGACGTCGGTATGTATGAATGATTAAGGAAGATCTTCCGACTTCACGACCACTCTTTCGAGTTCGAAGTTTTCCTGTATTTATGTATACAGAGAAAATCTTGATGTCAAGCAAACAGATGGAACTATTCCATTATTAACGAATTCAATAGAGGAGTCCCTGGAACAACTTCTTCTCACATAAAGACAATCCGTAGTTCTATGTTATGTCCACGATCAAAGATGATACTAAACGAGAATTTCACAGGTACTGTTATCACACTTTTTGCCAAAGACAGCGAAAAGAAAAAATGGCATTCTTGTTGTTCCTAGAGCTAGCAGAACTCACCAAGCAACTTCGGGGACTCCGGCGATGATCACTAAGAGAAAAAAAAGATAGATAAAAGAGCAATTTACGATGAAATTCCATTTCGCTTTGCTAAAATTTTTTAGTCTCCCAATGTTGCAATGGGTAATACTTAGAAAACAGATAATGTAATTGTATCTTATAGCAAATAGTACTGTACGCTATAGGATGTTTATTAAGTCTGTCAATAAACTGCAGGTCTATTTGTGGCAATCAACCGATCAATCGATCAATCGTTGATGCTGATGAATCAGATGTTGATAAGATTGCTAACAAGATATTGAAGTAATGTTGAAATCGACACTTCAAGATTGCTTAGGCTGGTGTGGTAGCGGCTTAAAGGCAGAAGAAAAGTGAAGGTCATGTAATGAGAACTCTGTACTACCTGAAGATACATCGAATTCCTTAAGCTTGTTGACGATTGTTACCACATATCGCATTAGATCTAGGTTTCCTTCTTCAGCGCCATCTCTGAATAACGTTTGAACTTGAGCGGGCTCTTCGTGCAATACACACCTAGTGCACCTGTAGGCTTCCGCGTAACTGAAGAAATGCTTGAAAAAATCCATGTCGAGAATGAGTTGCGTCTCGGAATCGGCAAGAAATTGAGTGAACAACGAATTCATAATCTAAGAGGTAGCCTCTAGAAAGAGTTTAAAGGGAAATGGAACTCATAATCATACTGGTCCATCCTCTTCACCATACTCATCTTCCTCGCTGAATAGGGAAGCTACTAGGGTACTCCGACTTCCTGGCCTGTTCTGGACATTAGACCCATCAATTTTGTTATTTCCTGAAAATTATTAGTCTGATCATTCAAGTTTGACACTGAACCTGACTGTAAATAGCTCACCAAAATCAGCGTTGACATAACAGATGAGTGCAATGAGAAGCAATGGTTGGCGTGCCATATCTTCAGTAGTGCCCTCTTATCAAATCAAATGGAGGCTGTCCCGTTCAAATACACCCGTGTATTATCGAGCAATGTATACATGCGCACACTTCATCTTAAACGTTTTTCTAGTAAAATGAAATTATATTGAACGAGGCCGAGATAGATATTGCTATAGTATCTTATCTAGAACAAATAGGAGATCTACCAGTGTTGGAAATTTCAAGCAGATTTATCTTGAGAATACGCCATGGGCTCATAGCAAGCCAATATGGGGTTGAACACGAGTCAAGGGTTACCTCTATATCTGCCGCTCCGGATTAACTAACACATTTTACGAACTATACAACAAGTACTCTGTATGTTCACTCTGTCAAAATCCTGGAATCAAAAAACCGGGGATTGGGATTCTGTGAAACTTTGCTTCAACAAATTCATTTTGCATGAGGTAGGAGTTCACTGCAGCAAATTCTTGCTACATTTACTGCGAAGAGTCCAATAACCCACGCATTAGTAGACTAAGTGCGATGACAGAGCTCTGCGAATTACCCATGATCGCTCTCATGGCCATCGCTAAGGACACAGACAGATAGTTGGACAGCCCGTTCTCGTAAATATTGCCGGACAAGTCACAAATCCCATTTGACCATGCTCTGCTGGTCTACATGTTTTGGAGCTTTATCGTTTCCCTGAAGAATGGAAGTAACCTTACAAAATCTAGTTGAGATTCTTACCACAAATAGTCGTCGCCCCATCTCAGGAGAACACTTATTGTTTTGGAATTAAGTTTTGTTTTGCGACAGTGGGGAATGCTGGTACAAGTTTACTGTTAGTTGTGTCTCTGGATGGATGTGTTGCATCCACGAATTCAGATAATCTTGCGATAGATAAATTTCGTTGTTTCCTCACAGCTATTCGACATCCAAAGAGCTCTTTGCTACGATTATGCAGTGTACCATTGCAAGAACAAAGCAGTAAAATTAACGATACTAATGAAATTAGCGAACTCTAATAGTCAAAACGCATAAACACACAATTATACACCACAAGTTGTGACAAAGCGGACTGTATGAATAGCATACGACTCTCACATGACGAAGCAAAAAAAAAATCTGGAGTATGACCTTGTCAGAAATGTGTTAATTAAATTAAATTAATTAATTAATTAAAGACTTCGAGAAAACCGTAGCACTCTTCGTGTACCTCATGCAATAAAACATCAATGGTTCACAACAAGGACGAATTAAGGCATTACTGGTTCTCGATCAATGCACCATACAAATATCATCTACTATCTCTCTGCCGCACAGAGATAGCTGACTTCCTCTAAGGTACCATTTAAAAAAGAATATATCCGACTTTAACCTTGGTCATTTTTGTGCTTATGTGCTCGTTGTGATGCGGAGCAAAGCATTTTTTATAGTTCCTAATAGTGTAGGTCAATTTAACTAATTTCAATTTAAAACTTAACTTATTCGAAGTGCTTACTGGAGTGCTTTGTGCTTCGCTGTTTCATCAATACACTACTGGCTACATGTTGATTTCAACACAATTTACTTCCGCCTGCTACTTTCGAAACAAATTTTCTTTGTTAGGCATTTTGCATTCGGAGAGCACCCCATGATAAATATGATCTCATGCGCAGCCCGAAAAGGGCTACTCTGTGTTCCTGCTTATTACAATGTGCAAAAAGCTTCTGGGACGAGTTTGTGCATCTCACTGCGTCCCGCAACGATTACCGTACTTGCTGCACAGAATAGTATTTAGGTGGTATTGGCGCAATGAAGTTGTACTATTAGGGGTACCACTTCGCCACAGTTACATTTAAACCATGGGGGATAAAGGATAAAGGATAAATGATAAACGATAAAGCCCTCGTCGTTGATCAATCCCTGAGGGATGCGCCGTGCATTCGACTTTATTAAGAACCTTTAGACTTGATTGAATGCATATCTGGCCTTACAATGACTCATCGTGGCCTACCGATACATCTAGCCAGTGCCGCTGCTATTTCAGACAAGTCTGGTACTAATTTGCCGTTCGCGGAGAGATGAAGGCCTTAGTGGGCCGGGGGCGTGGGGATCGATCCTAGCAAGACGCTTCTGACCATTGCGCTACACTCGCCCTTCGAATCATTGAGGAGAAGTGTAGTATTTAGCTTCATCGAAATTTACTGATTGAGGAAATTTCATAGAGTGTGTGTTCTTCAATATTTCTCGCAATGCTGTATCTTTGGAAAGATTTCATATTCTCAACTCTTATTACCACTAAACTTTCACTGATGTTCCAAACGTTGCTCAAACGATATTTATTTTGCAAAACACATTTCAAAGCACAATGTAAGCTAAAAATAGCCAAATCAACTCTTCTACCTGAATGACCTAAAGTTCTCAAAGGAGGATAAACAGTCCAACTAGTACCACAACCTATATCAACAAAACGAATCTAAAATCGAAAACATAGAAGTTGGCAATAATAATATTTCAAAGGTAACATTTCTTATGTACGATTTACGATCCTTATAATGCGCAACCTTACAATTTTTATTAAAAAATTTACAGTCTGGACAACCTCTGTAGTTGTTATTAAAACAATCAAAATAAAACTTCTGTAAAGTTGCTATCGCTTGACCTCCGCGAATAGTCAGCAATAATTATTAATCGAATAACACAAAGAGAAATATCTTTCCCACTAATTGCGTATATCACTAGCCGACTTCGCACCATTTACAGCTGATACATAGCCGTGATGTTTTGGGAATCCCTTATAAAAGGCAATACATTTTCTCCAACTTTTTTAGTTACTGGAGCCTTTTCCAAGATATAACAGATTGCTAGTGCAAGCGCTCTACTTGTGATAATCAAGTTGGGATAAATCCACGTCCTAAATTATGCTGAGCGAGCGAGCAGTGCAGTGGTAGTGATCCCACCCATCACGGCTGACGAATCAGCCTACCCAAACTTTGGCTCGGCTCCACCCCAGGGCCACAACGGTTCTCATCATTCCGGGATCACGAAATGGGTACCAGATTTTTCTGGGAATACCTCAATCCAAGTGGAAACGCTCTAGCCCAGTTGTCTCAAGATCCTTGGGAGAATCGGCTCGGCCAGTATTAAATGACATTCATAAAGAAGACGAAATCCTCAAGCAGCAGCAGAAACCACAAGCAAAAAAAGCTCGAAGACCTTCGTGGACGATGTGATAGATGTTAGGAAACGAATGGAATGCAAGAAGTGCTTGGATCTGCACAATGTGATACATGTAATATCGGATCGTGTAATTTAATAATAGTAATAGTAATAGTAATAATAATAATAACAATGATAATAATAGCTATAAGAATAAGTGAGACATTCACAAGGATGCTGCGATATGAGCAAGGCTGGGAACCTCAGCTGGGCTTCGGACCCTCGATTACCTTACCAAGGCTCACGTGCTACCCATCACACCAACGGAAACCATTGCTTTGACTTTCTCATAGTCTTTTTTGAACTCCATCGGTGCTACTAGCAATTGCACGAAACAGCTGATGTGACGGATAGCACGTGATCCCCTGGCAAAGGTAATTGTGGGTTCGAAGCCTAACTGAGATTCCCAGTTTTGCACGTCACTTTTGTGGTTGTATTCACATGATATAATACCCAACCACATCTTACAAAAAAATCCGTTGATAAACATCTGCTTACTTGTATACCTGGATGGCACGTCTTCACTGGTTGTGCGAGTCCCAGCATAATTTACATTTTCTTGGAGTTTTCCTGGTTTAGCTATTGTGGTTCCCTAGAATTCCAAGTTCGGCCCTGCTGAAACCTTCCTCAGGTGGTCACCGCTCCAGTCAGTCGACGTCCTTGTGGATCAGGGAGAGATTTGTCACCATACCACTAGTTTAACTGGACTTGCGGATGAAAAGTTTAAGCTCTTCAGTTTGGAGGACAATTGTCGGGTGAGGCGGTAAACCGCTGAGGAATGAACATGGAATGCTTCTCAATTAAGCAACTCATGGCCCTCTTAAGGTCTAAACTGCTCGATCTTCAGATGGTCTAGAAAATATTATGAACAAATGCGAGGATTGGCAATGGAACAGTGACTGGCACTAAGTCTTAGCAATTCCTTTCTTACCATTTCCTTCATGTCTAAGGTGGAAGCCCTAGTAATCGATCTTCAGCCATCATTCTACTGTAGGCATATCGACAACAATTGTTTTATCATCTCCTTAACACAAGAGGCGATGAAGTGCTAAACGAATAATCAGAGTGCAAAATTCATCCGATAGAAACTAGAAGCAAACTGGATTCCATTTCTGTTCGAATTAACCTATCCGAAAATGGATATATCACCAAAGGTACCGAATGGTAAGTAATAAAAGAATATTGGCTGATTGCCTCTCCTCTCACCTTTCACACACAAAAATGACGCTTGTAGGAAATGCACTTCAAACAGCCACCAATGTGCGCACAGGAAAAGAGCGGAAGGATTGTGAACCAACAGGGGTCTTGGAGTGTCCGGTGGTATTTCGGTCACTGTTGCCGAATTCCCTACACCGGATCCTTCTAGGCAACGCTATGTAGCTGCACTCACTTCGTTAGAAATTAGGGGAAGGAAAGACGGGAAGAATTTCTTGCTAGAATTACCATTCAGGAGCTTTCTAACGAAATAAGTGCAGCTATATAACGTTGCCTAGAAAGAGCCGGTCTAGGGAATTTGGTAACAGTGATTGAAATACCACCGGACACTCTAAGATGCCACCTGGTTCACAATCGCCCGTATGACCGTCTCTGTACAACGCAAAACTGCATAATATGTCCTAACGGCAGAGGCAATGATTTCATGAGTTCGTGTGCCGTGAATCTAATTTCTTGTAAAGCCCGTGATTATGATTACGCAGGCTAAACGGGCAGACCAATCTGCATCCGTACAAAAGCACACCTAGTCGGTAAACTTAAAGTTAAACCGAATACTACTCTAGGCGCGCGTAGGGCACAAAGACAAAATGGAGACGATTTTGAAGTGAGAGTCATCATCTTAGCAAGGTATACGTTCCAAAAAAGAAGATTTTACTGCGCGAATGAAAATTTGTGTATCAGGCTTCATCTACTGAGGTTATTAAAGTGTTAGGCTGAGTAGATCGCATGTCAGCTTGATCTTTCCAGGATCTGAAGAAGGCAAAACATCCGTAGTCTCGGCTATTGTGAATGAATAAATGCTGTAGTAACAATCCCATGTTTGCTGTTCAAGAAAATTAGTGGCTTATTGATCAAAGTCGAAGTTAAAAGAAACTCGGTTCTGGGATTAATTACAAACACTGCTCAACAGTTTATATCTTAAGGAAAAATATGCATCTGGTTCACCCCAAATCAAATATCCCAGTACTCCAGACTGTCATCAACACTCTATGGTGTTTGAGGCACCACACTCTTTGGCCAGTGACCTCAGAGTTGCTCTATGACGAAGAGAGCAGGACGCACCTTATTGTCCTCATAGTCTTGAACTTATTCCGCAGTCCTTGTGAGCAGTGGAATCAAAATTTTAGCTCAGTTTGTTTCTCACGAAAGTATCACTTCTTTGAGCATACCAAACGTGGCATATTCGATGTTCAACAAGAGTTTTGCTTTGGCGAGTTTTGAAGGCCTCGGATTGAAGAGCCAGCCTTTGGAGAAGATTATCTCTTTCAAAGGTTTATTCACCGTTCTGATAGCATTGCCTAACTGGGTATTCGTGCTTCGTGCATAGAAACACTCATTGACTGCAATCTCCAAAAAGCGACATCAGTCCACACCTTTCCATGTCGCATAGAGTCCATTATGACTATGCCTAGTCCGTTCAAACCTATACAATTTTATCAATAAGCAAATAATCGTATGCAGAAGGCTATCACTCGACATAGGCGATCGATACGGATCAATTTTTTCCGGTAACGTCACACTATTAAAGTAAACATAGTGCTCTGGAAACACTTCTGAAAATAGGCCTCTTCACTCGTACAATAAGCCGTAAAGACTGGATAAGCACCCATGGACTTGAAGTAAATAAAGTGGAGCAGTTGTAGATGTCAATGTCATAACATCTATACTCAAGAATTCTTCGTGAAATTAGAAAATGGTCTCCAAAGCAGTTAGGTTGGAATAAGTGCTCATTCTCATATAATATATAGAAGAAAGCTATAGTTGTATCTGCGTAAGTAGTTCTACAATTAATACATGTAAATGGTCTTTTTTCCAACGGTTTACCGCCTCATCGTGGATGGGAGGTATTCCTGGGTGTCGGGCTGCGAGGTACAGCGATGTGATTCGTCCCCTCGGTAGAGCCTCCCAAGCCGAGAAGGCGTCCGACGTTTCCATCGGGAATCCCAGATAAGAGTAAACCAATATCAGGATCGCTCACCGTCGTGGTACCAAACTAGTCGTATGGTGGCAAATCTCCTAATCCACAAACGCGACGACTGCGTGTGGTGGTGACGTCCTGGAGCAGAGTTTGGCCAGAGTGACCTCGCGACCCCAAGGAACCACAATGGCTAAACCAGCAAAACTCCAAGAAAATGAGAATTATGCTGGGGCCCGCGCAACCACTGAAGACTGGCTATCCAAGTATCCACGTAAGTAAATGGTCTTAAACCCAGTTCCTTAGCCTGTTTAGATTTGAAAGAAAGCGATACATCTTACCACTGTTTTTCAAAGACCACCATTATTCCGTCTAATTTATTCAACGAAACAAAATGACAACAGAGGAAGTCCAGGTTGACAAATATCATTCAAGGAAATAAGTGGTAAGAAAGCGAGGAAATGTCAACAGATAAACAGGTTTTTACGGCGAGTAAAATACAAAATATGGAGACGGATAAAGATGAAACGATGTTTTTGACATTACATTGGATGATTTTACGACGCTGGAGGAGGCGGAGGAATCGGTGGAGCTTGCCCAGTAGGGGGTGGTAGAGGTGGCCTAGAAGGAGGAGGCGGCGGAGGAAACTGTCCAGGTCCTGGTGGCGCTGCCGAACCAAACCGAGGAGGCGGAGGAGGCATTCCTGGTGGAAATCTGCAAGCAATATAATAAACTTCAAACTAATATTACTACTATCACCTCTAACTGATCAGCATGAACGATTATTTCGAAAAACTATACTAATTCAAAGACCGACTTTCTATGAACCTCGGCATAGATAGTTGATATATTTATTTATGTGATCTTATAAACTGATTTTCTTAAGCTGACGCGAGGTTGGTACAGATCTTCGTTGTCGTTGTTTTTGATGTTATTGAACGATGGCTGACGTTTCGGCGACCTCGCCTTCCTCAGAGCCTGGACGTAATTTATGTTAGAATACTTTTTATTATTCGGTGGAAAATAAGGTTAAAGTATTAATGAAGATCAAACTTTCAAATAGACGCCATATTGAACAGAAAGGTCACTCACTGTGATGTTACGTGCTGGACTGGCCCACACGTAGCTCACGCGAGCAAGAAACGCCCCGGGTTCAAAATATCATTTTGAAATAGGGCGCCAGGTCACGCGTGATAGTGAGGCATTCGTCCTCCCGGTTCATCTTTGGATTTTTGAAATTTATCCAAAACGCCTCAAGAGTTTTGCTCGTAGAGCATGAAAAGAAAATAAAAATGCACGGCTTGTAGATTGCGCAACTAATGACCCTCTTAAAACAGTGTCTTAGCTGTTCAATCTTTAGGTGGTCTGGAAAATATTTTGCACAAATTAGAGGGTTGGCGATGGGGCAGCGTTTAGCACCAACCCTTGTCATCGCTTTCATGTCTAAGGTGGAAGCTCCAGTTCTCGATCACCGACCCTTACTCTACCGTCGATACATAGACGACTGCTTCATCGTCTGCTCCACACAAGAACAGATGGATGAGTGCTTTGAATTGTTAAACCGACAGTCAGAGTATATAAAATTTACACGAGAAAAACCTACCGAGAACTGGCTTCCATTCTTAAACATCCAAATAAAGCTCTCAGTAAGTGGCTATTTAACAAAATGGTATCGCAAGCCAAGTAGTAAAAACATTCTAGTTCACTGCCTCTCCTCTCATCCTTCACACATAAAAAAGCACTTATCAAAAATATATATCGTACGGCTAAAAATGTGTGCACAGGAGAAGAGGAAAGGAAGGAATCGCGAAACCTGGCACGAATTGCCATTTCCAATGGCTACGAAGTAGAAGCCACTCGGGTTAGAGGAAAACATTGGGTAGTTTCCCAAAATAATATTTCAGACGAAAGTAAGATCCCCTTTAAGCTGCCCTTCATATCAAATGAAATAAGTCACGCCATTAAAAAGTGCTTAAGAAAAAGTGGTCTTGAAAATTATGTAACGATTGTTGACATCCCACCCAATACCCTACGCCGCCAGTTAGTTCGAAACCGTCTCTATGATCGTTTGTGCAGCTCAGAAGACTGTATGATCTGTCCTAACGGGAAAGACGGGGATTGCATGAGTTTAGGTATAATATACTTGATCTCATGTAATGCATGCAGCGAGGAATATATTGGGGAAACGGGTAGACCACTTTGTGTCCGCATAAAAGAACATCTAGATGGGAAAGCTAAAATCTGTTTAAACACCCCTCTAGGTAGGCACAGAGCACAAATGCACAACGGCGATGATTTTGAAGTGAATGTGCGGATCCTAGCGCAGGAATCAAAAACATCAACGCGCAAAACTCTTGAGGCGTTTTGGATAAATTTCGAAAATCCAAAGATGAACCGGAAGGACGAATGCCTCACTATCACGCGTGACCTGGCGCCCTATTTCAAAACGATATTTTGACCCCGAGGCGTGTCTTGTTCGCGTGAACTACGTGTCGGCCAGTTCCGGACGTAACATCACGGTGAGTGGCCTTTCTGTTCAATATGGCGTCTATTTGAAAGTTTGATCTTCATTAATACTTTAACCTTGTTTTCCACCGAATAATAAAAAGTGTTCTAACATAAAGTACGTCCAGGTTCTGAGGAAGGCGAAGTCGCCGAAACGTCAGCCATCGTTCAATAACATCAAAAACAACGACAACGAAGATCTATACCAACCTCGCATCAGCTTGAGAAGATCAGTTTATAAGATCACATAAGTAAATATATACTAATTCAGATTACAAATTAGAACTTGTGAATTATTCTCGAGTAGAATTACACTAAATTTGCTAAGTTAGTGTTTGTCTTACTTTATATATATTTGCATATATATGTATACAGTCATTTTAAAGAACGAACTGAAAATAGAGGGAAAAAATACCTCGGCGGTGGCGCCATCATTCCCGGCGGTCCAGGTGGTACAGGAGGCCCAGGTGGACCAGGAGGACCAGGAGGACCAGGAGGACCGGGAAGACAAGGTGGACCAGGTGGACCAGGTGGACCCGCAGAACCAGGAGGGCCAGGTGGCATTCCTCCTGGAGGCGGAGGAGGCACGAAAGATGTCCCCCGAGAAGGAGGAGGAGGAGGCGGTGTAGGCATACTTGGAGTGTGCGTAGGAGGTGGAGGAGGCATAGTCCATTGAGCTCCTCCAGCTGAAATAAGCAATGTAAATCGAGTGCTAGTTTAATATCTAACAAATTATCCCTTCGCATCTATTTTCGTTCTTCCATCTGATTGAATGTACAGAGTACAACCATTATTAATTCAGTTATTTTTCAACTGTTCACTTCACAAATGCGCTGTATGGTCTCCATACACTGGCGTGCTACCTTACCATACTCATGGCATTGTGGTACTTTTGATGGTTTAATTATTATGTACAACAAGGACATCCTACATAAGACTACCCGATCTGAGTTGTTCATTAAAAATTGTCTGTTCTGAAAATCTACTTTGAAAGAATCAACTTTGGAAATACACGTCATCCTAGAAGAACCTTAGACACAATGTCTCAAAACACCCTGCACTTCGTAGGAAAGAAGAGTTTCTGCAATAAAGATCGGAGTACACCTTAGCATAGCTTTCTTGGGACGCTATAGCGAAAACAACGGCTCAGCTAACAAAATACATTTAAAAAAGCTCGTCCGTCGAAAAAGGGAACGAATGGCTAGAAAAAAAAGAATGAGTACTAACATGATATAGGTGGCGGTGGCGGTCTTGGTGTTATGGTTGGAGTAGGTGGAACTGGAGGTGGTGGTGGAGGAGGCATTGGAGTAGCTGTAGGAGGCGGTGGAGGAAAGCCCATAGAGCCTATAGTCATTGGCAAAGGAGGAGGCATCGGAGGCATGCCAGGAAGACCAGGCATAATGGGTGGCATTCCTGGCATTGGTGGAGGAAACGGCAGCCGTCCAGGAGTATCTGAGAACATCTAAAAAACTTTGTTACAAAGAAATCCTGTGGGTGATAGTTTATTGGAAAATGATCTAGAATATTTAGCAATAAGTGTACCTGGTTTGGTCGGTCCTTCGGAAAAAGAGGGTTCTGTGCAGCCAACATGCGTTCTGCCGCAGTACCATGTCTTTCGCCTTTCGCATCTTTCTTGAAGGCGTATGAGACAGAGATTGCTCTAAAGCAATACTCCGTGCAAAGTGTCAAAATTCGTAACATTTAAGTGAATAGATCACGAATTAATAACTGTCATACGAACCGATTGCACAAAAACTGTCCATTCATTGCTTCCATTGCCATATCGGACGCTTCAAATGATGCGAAATTTATGAACGCAAACCCCTTACTGTTTCCTGTTTCAGGATCACGCATAATTTTAGGAACCTACAAAACAATAATTCCAGTGGAAAAGAAGTGTTAAGTTGGTTAATCGATGTTAAGAATCGCAAAGGGTTAAAAAACTTTCAAAACTTACTTGAAGAATGACACCAAACGCGCTGAACGTATCATACAAAAGCTTCTCATCTACCTAAAGCAAGGAAAAGACTGAAGCTAACAAAACTGAAGAAAATAACTTCTTTACAAACCTCTGAATCCAGATTTCCGACAAAAATGTTTGCCCCAACATCCATGTTCTTCTCGTGAGCACTGGCTTTATTGACCTAATTAAATATGTTTAAAAAAGTAATGTGAGTGGTAGTTAGTCAAATTCATTAAAATGTGACCTTAATAGGCTTTCCATATAGTTTTATCATGTTGAGAATTTTGATTGCATAATCGGCGTCTTCCTCTCCCATAAACTCAACGAATCCGAAACTAGAACTTGTCAATAGGTAAAAACACTATAGCATTCCACAAATGTCAAGGAGTAAAAATTGCTGAAAGCACTGGTCGAAAGACAACTAGATGACAGACAGGCGAAACGAAGGTTCCGCATGGTGCAGTGGTGAACGCGTTTGCCCCCGGAAAGGGCAATAACGCCTCCATTCTCCAGCGCATACACCTGCGATCCGGAGTTTTGCAGATATCTCAGCATCACTATAGTTGTCAAGGAATAGTTTGGAAAGCGAGGTTGTTAATTATAGAAATGCAAACCCTTGGTGATTCGCTGTGACTCGATCTTTGGGCATGTTAACGCTTGTAACAGGTCCAGCTTGGACCATCAACTCCCAAAGAACATTCTCCGTTACCTTTTCGTCCAGCCCACCAACGTAGATTGTCGCATCTGAAAACATCTCGAGGCAGTACCAACTACTAAGCTTAACATTAAAAAGTATTACTGTTACTATTAAAGTCATTGTAACTAAAGATGATGATCGTTTTGCCTTTTTATTCGATGACAAATCATAAAGTAAAGCACCTACCTTGATTACGCTCAATGATTGGACCAGCCGACATAGTTTGGTACTAAGAATGCCACGAAAACGATGTAAAGAAGCCTAGAAGAAAAGGGAAATGAAAGTGCTTTAAAAACAATGAACACTACATAAGAAAGGGATATACCCATAACAGACATAAGAAATGCTACCCTTTATTCTTCGAATTCTTCAAAACAAAACTAGGCAACAAAGCAACAACCACGTAAATATTACACATATGATATCACGGGTTTATAAGACGGAATAAAAAATACTTTCTTTAGGGCAGAAGCCCTCAAATTTAGGTGTACTTTACAATAAACGTAATCGTAACTCTGTTCTCGGAACAGTGGTGTAAACAATCGATTCAGTCACTCATTAGCTTCATCAGAAGCACCGTCATTCTCTTCTGACTCGAAAGTCAAAAAATTGAGAAACTTCTTATGAAGAATTTCCTCTCCGTGCTCATTCCATTCATCTCGGGATACGAAGAGTTTATCCTCGTCGACCATATCTCCCGTAAAAGCTGCCGATGCACAAGACCAGGCGTGAGTTATTGGATTCGTAACGTCCGCCAGTGCAACACACCAATCCACATCCAAACAAGAGCGCAATTCCGATATGCTTAAAACGAAAAGAAAATAAGAAGCAGAGCAGGTAAAATGACAACTAACTATTACAATCGTTCTCGAAAACCAGGAAATAAAGTACAGCCTCCGACAAGAGAAATGTTCTGCACAAGAGCAGCACGTAGATTCACCGGACACCGTGACAATGACTCCACAACGGCTTCAACTACTCCCATTTGATTCAGGCCGATGTCTGATGGGCTACAAAGTAAATCTATGAAGTTAAGTACTGCTTAAAATACAAAGGACTAACACGAATAATGTAAAAACAGAAACCAACTGAAACATAATTTCAGGCAAGGCAAAGCGTTCTCTGTTCAAATTGATAGCTTGAGGTGAATCTTCCGACGGTACTGATTTCCCTGCTTTAGAAGGATCCCTCAAGTATCCTCGAAATACACGACAAAAGTCGGGCAATACGTATTCTCGACGAATAGTATTGCGTTCATCACGATACCTCAAAAAAATGAAGATGACAGATTATACAGAATCCATCAGTCGGCTGGGATGGATACAACATGCATATGTATAGAAAAAGAGTAAGAAGGAAAAATGTCGTTGTAAATCGACTTTCATTTAACTTCGGTATAGATGGTCAATGTCCCCTGCTTCACTGATAAGTTAATATGAGGTTGTTACCAATATTTGTTCGGCTAACGTTCCTACGTGATCGTCCTCCTCACAGCCGATGATCCAAGTCGATGTTCACAGTCGCTCGTTTTCTCGATATGGTGAGGAATGGAATGTGGCTCTGAGGAAGATGAAGGCGTCGAAACAGCCGAATAAATATTGGTGACAACCTCATGTAGCATATTGATGAAACGAAGTAAGAAAGAACGTCTCTACAAGTCAAATAAACACCCAACTTATCGAATTTATTATCTACAGGTTACTGATGCTAAGAAGGAAACGGTACCGACTATACATCACTAAGATAGCGTTACTAGCCTCGCCCTCCACCTCGTTGGACAGAAGCTCTTGGTGAGCTCACGTAGGATACATCACCACGACGATATACTTGCCTGGCAATCTTCATGTCGTTTTTGAAATCAAGTGAGACGAAGCATGAGTCTTCTTTACATTGATTTATTATGTACGTTTCTTCCATAACATTCAGATCGCGATAGCTTATCCATTCCTTTAACTGGTTCGTCAACACTTTCCCACCCACATCAATACTGAAATGTTGATGATAACAAATCGCGACACCAACTGTCCAAATAAAGTAAATGTGTTATTTACCGTACTATTCCTTGCTGCACTGCCTTTCCATCAAGAAATGGAGCAACAGTAACCGACGAGAATCCACAATCGATAACCAAAACACAACGAACATTCCGACATGAACTTTCCAATGCGATGAACCCTGCGGCTAAAAAAAAAAACAATTTGTAAAGCTTTATAGGGATTTGGGGGTGTCAATGCTTGTTCATCACTCTGCAATACAAATGGGATCGATCCCTACGCTCCAGGCCCACCAAGCTCCCCCCCGCCGGGTTGGCAAATTGGTACTTGTCTAAGAGGATAGCATCACTGACTCGACACATCGCTAGACCACCATGAGTCATTGTAGCCACTATATATTATGCATTCAATCACCTCCAAACGATACTAAATGAAGTCGAATGCATAAACCATCTCTCAAGGATTGATCAATGCCGAGAGCTTTATGCTTTAACCTTTTTACTCTAAGAAGTCAGTGAAGTTTAAACTGATTTTTATGTTGTAGACTGAAATAAGAAAAAATAAGAAAAGTTATTCGGCTCTAAGATAAACTTCCTTTATACACTCGCAAAAAAATACGTACTTCTTTGACTTCATTTTTATCACTAAAAACAGAGAAATTCATGAAATGGGGTAAAGCTAAGAACTACAAGAAGTGGCTCTATCTCAAGCAGAAAATTTTAGAAAACATGTATTGTTGTTAACAGTGTTCCAATGATAAAACATACGTAAATCTATGTAATGTAATGTATCCTCCCAACGGTTTACCGCCTCATCGTGGCTGGGAGGTGTTCCTGGGTGTCGGACTGCGATGTACAGCGAGGGGATTCGTCACCACGGCAAGGTCTCCCAAGCTGAGAAGGGGTCTGGCGTTTCCATCAGGAAGCCTAGCTAAGAGTAAACCAATACCAGGATCCACCACCGTCTTGGTATCAAAGTCGCGTCGTGGCAAATCTCCCTCTGATCCACAAGGGCGATCACTGCCTGTGGTGATGACGACCTGGGGCAAACTTTAGCTTGGCTGACCTCGGAACTCCAGAGAACCACAATGGCTAAGCCAGCCAAACTCTGAAACAATGGAAACTATGCTTGGACCCGCACAACAAGTGAAGACAAACTATCTAAGTATCCAAGTAAGTAAATAGCGGTAAGGCACACTTCAAAAATTGTACCAATAATTCGTATGAAATGCTGAGATATTTGCAAAACTCCGGACCACAGGTGTATGCAGTGGGGAACGAACACGCGCTGTTG